AGCCTCGATCTTTTCCTGAACTTTCCACTAGTTCCTGGCACACGTGCTAGCGGTGACCGTGTCTACAGCGCATCTCGTTGTGCAGAGTTCAGATCGAGCAGCAGAAGCAGCACAAGAGACCTTTTTGGAAAGCGCGCCTAGCTTGGACTGCTCCTTAGAGTGTGGTCTTCTTGGCATAAGCTCTGTGAACAGTTTCTATCTGCACTTCGGATTCCTTTTTCCATCTAATCTTACCATTTCGATTATGGAGTGGGACCACAGTGTTTTCTGCCGACATGCCGAAATTCGTAGCAGACTGGGTCTAAAAACTGTATGTCACCCTCGAAAATTAATATACATATTAGGTCATCCCATTCAAAAGTGCCGAGACATATAGAGGAATGGCAGAAAAGCAAAGGGGATAGGGAAGCGGGCTACTATACCATTTGGAGGCTAGTACCTTTAGCTGTGTATCTGTGAAATTTGGCGAACCTACCCACAGAAGAAATTGAAAAGAAGCCCGAGTGGTGAAAATCAGCGCCCGATTTTCAAATCAGACGTCATAAGAGGGAAGTGCGCTGCTCAAATTCGACCGGCGCCGGACCAGTAGTTGTGTGTAATGGTGTTCTCGATATACAAGGTGGAAGGTTTGGTTCAGGAGCCCGAAGAAGGAAGAAAGGAAAAAATTTGTTGTCGTGGATGGTCCCATAATGTTCATCCTGCACAAGAAAAAGGGTGGATGAAGTCAAGCGCTGAATGTCTGATCACAGCCTGGACCTTTGTCGAGCTTCCGAGTCTGACATCCCAGCTGCAACTGCTGCCCGAGTTATGTCCGATAAACTGAGGATGGTCAAGAGGGTGTGCGCATGGGTACCTAATTTTCTTGTAGAAGCACGAACGCAGTACCGATTCTATGCCTCTAGCAGTAATGTTCTCAGCATGAGATGTCATTCACGACTGTGAAAACGCACCCCGGCCCTAGATGAAATATGGGTGGTCTTGGACCTCGAGCCAAAACTCACAATCAATTTTGTATGAATGCAGATGAGAAGCCGCCCGAGTTCTACCATGAAGAGTTACGTGGGCGCAAGTGGATGATCATCATAGCGAAGGACTGTTGCTTTCAGGCGGCTCCATACAGAGAGCTATACCGTAGCTGTCTATGTGTTCCTCGGCAATCAGATCGACAAATGGATGATACCACACAACTACAAGAAGGCCACCGTTGCTCGTCATAGTGCCAGACCCCGAGTAACTGTATTGTAGCAGTGCTGGGACACAAACAATACTGAGACCTGGGTTCAATCGCCCCATTCGCCCAACATAAAGCCGCACTTCTCACCAGTGAGTCTATTATTTGATAGCGTGAATCGCATTTGACAGCGACTGCATCTGAAGCCCCATAATTAGCCCCTATCAGTGGTTATCGATTGCAGTCAACCCCTACGGTTTATGTCCTCATGTCACTCAAAATCTTTTGCTGAAACGTAACCCTCGCTGTTGCGGTGAGCTGCGCTGTGCATATAGCAGCCTTCTCATTCTTACTCTTCTTATGAAACCTTATCAGGCACACAGTTCCTGGCACTTTAGTGTCCAGTGCGCTATATCATATCTTGGAATCAGCACCTACTTGATGCTGTCACCAACCGCTATGAACGTGGAGGCCATCCTCCTCCAACGCTCCTTATCGAATCTTGTCAGTTGATATCACTTATTGTTCCTTCCACCAAGTGTTCCCGTCACAATCCCTACATAACTCCCTACTGCTATTGCAACCGGCCTATGAACTTAGTTTCGGACAGACAGACGCACACACACGGACAGTACCGATTATATAACAATAGTTTGGCTGAAGTGCACTTCTGCGCGCTCGTGTCGATTAAGCTGTGAAAATAAAAAAATAACAGTACATCTGCTGTATTTTCATCGAACTTCAGTTCAACTTTATCTTCCTGACCTATGTCCATATCAATTCATTGATGATCGATTGCCAGCACCCAGTGCGTATCACTTTTCTGAAAACATCTTCCAATCGTTGGAATTACGGACAGCCTAGCGGTTGAAAGTAATCTGATAGCAACGGTATTGAAATGACATGCTGTGGAATGTCTTCTTATCCTTTTGTAATGTGGAGAATTTTTTTTCTCACCGTCGGTGGCTCTTATCATTCCTCACTTAACGAACATCTTCAGACGTTTATTTCTAACGCTTTTATAGTATCTTATCAGCTAATATCATTTGCCTGCCACCCACCAATGTTTATCCGAACCTACCCCCTACATCAGTTATTTGAAAAAATATCCCATCGTTGCTGTGGTCCAGGTTATGAAGTTGGTGGCCTACCGCTTCTAACGCCTTTAATCATATCTTACCTGCTGCTATCACCTCCTCGCACCTGAAATATTTATGCCAACCTACCAACTATATTACCCATTGGAACAAACATCTCATCGTTTCTGTGTCTCAAGATATGAAGTCGGGTAGTCTCTCCTTCTACGCCTTTCAGGGTATCTTATCAGCTCTTCTCTTTTCGTACCACCCAGCAATGTTGTTCCCAACCGACCCTATGTCACCTATCCGAACCAGCGTCCGATCGTGGCCATGGTCCAAGGATATGAATTTGGTGGTCCATCACTTCTAACGCCTTTTATGGT